GTTCGAAGTAAAAAAAAAANAAAAAAAAAAAAAAAAAAGTTGAATTGAAATAGAACAAAGATTATTAGGTAAAAAAAAAAAGAAGATATCATCACTTTTTTTTCCGAATAAAATTAGTAATTTTCGCATAATTTTGATGATTTTTCGAATAAAAATTGTTGAAAGAATTGTTCAATCTTTGATCTTTGAAAAATCATTCATTCAACAAATGTAGTAGCATCATTATTTTTTTTGTTTCCGAAAATTTCACAAAAAATGACATGAAAAATTTACCAGAAATCAGGAAAACTCGTGAATACCTTACTTTTTTCTTTTCCATCTAAATGAATTTATAAAATTAAAAATTTGGTTAGTATAGGAATGATACAATTATATGAATAATTATAAAATTATGCATTTTTTTTTTGCCTTTTTATAATTTTTGATATCATAAAATTGCCAAAATATATAGTTTTTGAAAAAATTTTAAATTTTTAAAATTTTTGAATATTCTTAGGCGATAATTTAAGTATTTTTATTATTTTAGAAATGTTTTTTGCTTGCATGTCATAATTATTGGCATACCGCACTTTATTATATCGAACTTGGAAAATATGATGAAGCATTATCATACTACGATAGGTTATTAATACGTCTATTTATTTTCAATTGTTGTTTGTTTGAATTGAACTAATTTAATTTTTTGTTTTTTGAAATTTTTTTTCAAATATTTTTTGAATATTTTTTTTGAATATTTTTTTCGATGATTCTAAAATATTACTTAAAAAATGTTTCTTAATTAATTAGCTATGAGTGGTTATGCGAAAATACAAAAAAAAAAAAGAAAGCATGGAATGTTATTTTGTCTAATGAGCATTTTAGTTAGGATATTATCTTGTCCAATTAGCATTTTAATTAAGATGTTATCTTGTCTAATTAGCATTTTAGTGTAAATTATATTTTCTCATTATTTTCAAATACAAAAAAATGAAATTTACAAATGAAAACAAATTCATTTATTAATCTATATAATATCATTTAGTCATATCAAATTAAATCATACGGTAATTATTCCTCTTACTTAATTAACATCTTAATAATTATTTCTTTATTTCATTGGAATCCAGTTTTTTTTTTTTTT